TTATTCTCAACTGAGAAGGAGGGAGTATCGCTACAATAGAATATATGCCCAAAGAGCAACAAAAATTTCCTTTTTAAGATGCATCAACCAATAATGGGATTTGATGTAATCAGTTAGCAAAATGAATAACATGAAGAAAAGATACTTTGAAGAACTCATAATGTGATGAAGAGAAACATACTGTCTTTGATATTTCATTATCACCATTCACACATGAAGTGGGAGAAACGTTTGTATCTTGTTGCAAAGACATTTCAAGTTTGTTGTTAATAGCATTTGTAATAACTGACGAGGCAGCAGCAGTTCCGCCATTGACGCCTTGCCCTCTGCCACAAACTTGACCCTGAGATGAGTCCAATGAAAAAGATGTCTTCTTTTGGATTTCTTTTTGTAATAACTTTGACTGCACCAGGTCATTCTTGGCAATATCCCGCCTTGATTGAGTTTTTTCTACCTCAGGTTCACTTTCACTACAAGTATGGTCTCTATCTACCTTGTTAAATGGTTGGGGGTCAGTCATGAAAGCTTCAAAGCCAGCTTTGGAAAATAGTACGGCCTTCTGACGTTTCTCCTTTTTAGACTCAACCTAAAAACATAGTAATTAAACAGAATGAAACTCCTATTATGAATAAAGAAATGCATCAAAATTTGATTAAACTGGCAAATACAAACCTTGCCAATGTTCTTTGAAGACTGCAGAAGAGAATATGCAGCCTCTGGAAGCTCATATTTCCTGATAAACGTAAACAACACAAAATTAATTTCATCAAACCCCATCTGTATATCAAACAAGAAGAGGGGAGGGAGCAAGGAAGGTATATGTAGGCGTACTCTAAGGCCTCAATGCTTTTGGAGATTGAAAGGGCTTTTTCCTTCTCATCCTGAAGAATTAAAACACAGCAAACCATTCCAAATCCAAATCAACTTAAGAGAGAACCGAAATGAAACAAAACGAAAATGTACAGGTACATACACCAACACACCTCCAACTTCTTCAGCTTCCTCTGCTGGGATTTGCTAACCATTGGTGCTTTTGATTTATTGGGTTTTCCACTCCCCTACGGTAAAATCAAATTAAGCGAAGAACGAAACAAAGATCAAAACAAATCGAAAACGCAGACAGATAAACCAACGAACCTCCAACTTCTTGAGCCTCCTCCGCTGGGATTTGCTAACCGTTGGCGCTTTTCTTCTTTTAGTGGGTTTTCCACACTCCTAGGGTGAAATCAAATTAGATTCAGGAACAAATTAATTGGAATTCATTGACAGAAAAGAAAGAAGGCAGTGATATCAGTAAATTAGTTTCAGTTTTTCACCTGATTGGTGACCTTCCTTTTGTTCCCTCTCTTGGCTGGCAATACGAGGGCGTTGCTATCTACCCCGCCATCTCCCAAGCAAAGTTCCATGGTTGGTTCGTCGACTTATCTGCCGGCCTTTGCTTCACGCCACAGCCCCAGAACGACGGTCGAACAGGCTGACGTCACTGATTTGATGTTCAATGACAGGGTTTAGGGTTCAAGTAGTAGTTGCCCATAAACCTAAACCCTGGCTGGCCTATCGGAATTTTTTTTTGTTTTTTTGTTTTTAAAGTAGACTATTGGTGCAAACCACCATTATCCATCACTTTCAAGAGATAGAAAGAGTTACCGAAACATTATTTCAGACTCTTCCTGACCACAAGTCTGGCTTCCATATCAGCAGAGCGTTTCAAACCTGAGACCTCCAATTTTTAATTTTAAAGAAGTCTCGTACTTCGTCATTTACATTGAACCACCAGCTCGTGATTTTTCTATCGTAAATATGGAAACATAACCATTTTGAGAACCACATAATGAAATATAGCCTATGTTTTCCATTTGTTATCAAATTAACCAAAATTGAAATGAAAGGACTTAGTTACCCACAAGTTAACTCTTTCTTTTCCTCCTACCTCGGCTGTTTGTCTCCTATGTACCTGGATTTGGATCCTCTCCTGAGCAGGGGGTCCGAATCCTCCTGACCATATAACATGGACCGTTGGATCAAAATTCAACAACTACAATTATTATAACTTTTAAAGGGACTCCCTGTTTGTAGCCGTTGGATCAAAATCCAACGACCTTTGTTATCTGGTTAGAGGGATTCGGACCATCTTCTCAAGAGAGGATCCAAATCCCTACGCACCTAATTTCTCAATGCTAATCTCAATCTCAATCCCTCAATTGATTTCGAATCAAAACCTTCAATCGATTGGTTGCCCAGAATCTGCACGCACATAATGGAAACATTGATTGTTTGGATGCTGAGAAAACGCAAGAAAACAATAGGATTACGGTTACAATTTGAAAATCAATCTGATCCAGTACCTATCTGTATCCGAAAAGTTACGAGTCAGAGAGGAAGAGCAATACATGCTATCATGATCTAAATTGTTATGATCCCACATCGGCTACACCAAAAATGGTGTAGTGGTACTTAAGTCCTTGGGTCCTCCCACCTATCAGGCTAGTCTTTTGGGTTGGGCTCTTCTCTTGGGTTTGAGTACCTAACATTCGTATCAGAGCCTGGGTTCCGACGCTGCGGAGGGGGAGACCTGGAAAGGCCTACCTTAACGGGACGACCAAAGGGTGCACTGCCATTAAAAGTGAAAGCCACCAAAGTAAGGAACTCCGTGGGCGTCGGGTCCCGACCCTGCAGAGGGGGCAATCTGGAAAGGGCTACCTTAACGGGACGACCAAAGGTTGCGCCGCCATTCAGAGTGAAAGCCACCAGAGTAAGGGCCGCCGTTGGCGTCGGTTATTCCGAAGGGTGGTGTGATGTTATGATTCCACATGGGCTACACCAGAAAATAGTGTAGTGGTACTTAAGTCATTGGGGTCCTCCCACCTATCAAGCTAGTCTTTTGAGTTGGGCTCTTCCCTTGAACTTGAGTACGTAACATAAATTATCTAATATTTGATATTACTGTCTTCCTCCCTTAAGGAATTCAGTTTAGGGCAAGGAAATGAGAAAGTGTTGTGTTGGATTGGATTTGGGAGATTCTTCTGCAAAAATGAATGCTTTCTCTTTCTTCAACCTCGTGGAGCGTAGGAGACAAACAGTAGAGGTAGGAGGAGGAGAGTTTTAACCTACGGGTAATTAAGTCTTTTTCACTTCAATTTTGGTTAATTTTATAACACATGAAAAACATAGGCTATATTTCGTTAGGTGCTTCTCAAAATGTTTATATTTTCAAATTTCCCCTGCCCTACTTGGGCTAGTTTGGTGTTGCTTACTTTATTAAAAAAAACTGTGAGAATAAAGTAAAATAAAATTATTGAGTATTTGGTAAATTGTAATTTTGGAATTTAGATCTCATTCGAATAAGATTCTCACATCTTATTCATTTATTGTGCATCATGCAGTTAGAAACCATTTTGAATTCTTTATTTAAAACTAAACACAAACATTACCTAACGAAAGCTAGCCGCACGATGTACGATGAACAGATAAAATCTATCTTGTCCTCGCGAAGAGGATTCGGAGAGGATTTCCATCCGTATTTGGAATATATGTAGGAATATACTTATCATTTGAAAATTCATTATATGGACACTAATCATTATGCTTTAAAAAAATATTTTTAAATAGAAGCAGGGTAGTTTTAATATATAATTTCCAAACGTTCGATTGGAAGACATGGACAATGTGTGAATTTATTATTTTTTAAATAAAAATGAGACCACTAGCTAGTTCCCTTTTTATTTAAGAAAATATATATCAATTTTGCAAGTTCAAATAGAATTATTATTTTTAATTAAGGCCTCTTAATTTGTATAATTAAGTAAAACCACGCTTGCTTACAAATTAATATTGTGCACTCTCAAGACTTATGAAGTCATTATTAATTTGTGTAAACACTGTTAGATTTAAATATACGTTGTTGCCACAAAAGAAGACAAAAAAATTAGTTAAAATAAGATTAAGTACCAATTAAGGTAACGAACTTGACAACCAAGAACCAACTAACATAACAAGACCATTCGCTGCTGCATAAGAATTAACAAGAAGTGTTATTAAGTCATCAAAACTACGTTGTTGTCTTTTGTCTCAATCCACTAAACAACTTGTTTACATACAATTTCTACAATTTATACTTTCATAACTTGATAGTTTCCGAAAATTATTTGATTCTGACACGCTGAAATTTTTGTTGTAAAATACAAGTCAATACATTAGTAAAGCATTACTGGATCCTCACCTGTCGTATGTAGGCAACACCAGTCTACTAAGATGCAAGGATTAGAAGATCGATGTCCTCCTCACCCATTGGATGGCCAGCACTAAGGAGCTATTGAGAAATTAAGAGAATGATTCATGAATTCAAATGTAAAACTTAGAGTCGTGCGATGTGTGAAGTGTAAGAGATGTGTGAGTGATGAAAAACATAGAATCAGGAAACAGACATTGCGTTGCAACGTCTGAATCTAAAAGTAAAAAACAGAACCATGAAACGAGGCTTTGCATTGCTGTGTCTGAATCCAAATGTAAAGGAACATGTAGAAGCTGTGTCAGTGATGGAAAAAAAAAAAAACGAAACCAATAAATGGACATTGCAATGCAGTATCTAGAACTAAATGTAAAAAACAGAATCAAGAAAGACACTGTTGATCTGTATTGACTTATTCCAAGATATAAAAACTATGGAAAAATGAAGTGTCGATTGAAGTGGGTGCCAGCTGTAATAACAAATTTTGTTAATTTTAAATGCATTTAAGTATCACAATACATGATTGACTTATTTATAATTAACATAAATATTGTTGATATATTATTAATATTGTAACTTTTTATTGATTTTACACAAAATCACCCTAAAAATAAAAAAGGGTGTGATATCCACCCATCCCTTTTTACTTCTCACACACTCCTTATTAATTTCTATCATTTGATTTTCTTCAATTTATTCGATCTAACGGCTATAAATTAAAAGAATGTATGAGAAGTAAAAAGGGTGTGTGGATAGCACAACCCAATAAAAAAAAGTCTCCCAAAACCAATGCTCATCAAGTTCATTTATGGACAAAGAAAGAAAGTACACATGGTAAATTTGTACATTTAACTTGCACCTAAAGTCCACCCTAGAACTTTGTCAAAAAATTAACATGCGATGATCTTTTGATTAATTCATCTCACAGTCAGAAACCTCCTGCGGCTCGGGTACATACCTCCCCCAGAACCAATGCTCCCTCCACACACTGTCCATAGCTTCCATTCGAACGTTCTTCGTCTCCGGCACGAAAAAGAACGCGAAAACCGTCATGATCAACACGAATCCGGCAAAGAGGAAGAAGAGACCGAACTTGAGGTGGCAGAACATAGTGAGGGAAGATTGAGCAATTCCAAACATGAACAACATGTTGACAGACACATTCAGTGCTTGCGCTGCTGATCTCACCTCCAACGGGCATATTTCACTTGGTACTAACCATCCCAATGGCCCCCAAGACCAAGCAAATGCTGCTACGTAGAAGCAAATTAAAATCACCAAAAAATCCGCTTCGCTTTTCGACATGTTCCCATGTCCCGAAATTCCAAACTTGATCGCCACCATCGCTGCCACCGCTATTTGACATATAAACATTTGTACACCGCCTACAAGAAACAAGGGCCTCCGTCCGAATGTGTCCACACCCGCGACAGAAACACACGTAGCAACAACGTTCACAACTCCGGTTATAGCGCTGGACATAAGTGAGGCCTTGTGACCGAACCCTAATTTCTTGAATAGGGTCGGCGCGTAGAATGTGATGGCGTTGATGCCGGCGACCTGTTGGAAAATCGGAATAAAGATGCACATGACAAGGTAAGGCCTATACTTGGGATGAAACAAGAGATTTTTCATCGGCGAGTTTACTTTTTTCGCAGCCGCGGTGGCGAAAACAAGGTCTTGGAACTCCACCTCCACATTTGACGTGCCGTGAATCTTCTGTAACAGTTTCTTTACCTTGTCAGCCGGTTGGCCTCTGTCAAGCATGGAATTGGGAGTGTCCGGCAGGAAGAGAGACCCGACCAAAAGCAGTAGCGCCGGAATAATTGCCGATGCTAAAGAAACTCTCCCTCCCCATCCACCTTTTATATGTCCGGCGCTATAGTTGACGAAATTCGCCACTAAAATCCCAATTGTCACATTCAGTTGGAGGATAAAGTTGAGAGCTCCTCTGATAAAGGCCGGCGCCATTTCTGACAAAAAGATTATACTCGACTGAAGGGCGAAACCAATGCCAATGCCGAGGAAAATGCGACCGATGATGAGCATTACAGCGTTCACTGCAGCGGCACTGAGGATGGCACCGATCAAGTAGGTAGCGCCGCTAATGCGCATGGAAATGTTTCGACCGAAGGCCCTGGTTACTGGAGAAGCAACCAGGGCGGATACCATTGCTGCAATGTAGACAGAAGAGGTGAACAAAATCATCAGATGGTTCTGCGGTTTGCAGTACATGTTTTCGTTGTCCGCTTCCCTTTCTTTGAATGCCGATGGAAAAAACTTCCTCAGAAAAGCTTCCCTCGAAATCACACCTCCTGCAAAACATTTCCACCATTACATAAATACCTTCTTCTTTAAAAGAAATTCTCTAAGCAAAACGAACCGATGCACATCAACATTGTATTGATTGCGGTGAAAAACGTATTTTGATAACATGTTAGTAAAAAATGTAAAAGGAAATTATACGGATGATAAGAGCTTGAGGGCAACCTGTGTCGTAACCAAAGAGGAGACCAGCCCAGGCAGCAACCAGGCAATTCACCAACACGAAGTTGGTGATGTTTCCGTCATTTTGCCTCACCCCGCTTACAACCACGACAGTCCCTCTCGACATCTTTTCAACAATCTAAACACGTTTTTCTTTCTCCTTTTTTCCTTGTTTCTTGTTCTTCAAGAAAGGGTTTGGTAATAAACCAAACTTTTGCCGTGGTAGCGGGGGCAAGTACTACAGCATTCGAACCATACAAATACTTTAGCCCCCCTCAAAAACAACAATCTACGGAGAGGTAATTAACCTTCTTAGCCAAGTAATGCTGTGAATTTAAGATATTTGTTCATGGCATTCGAGCCTAAGAAAGCTAACCACCACTTCCGTTCTCGAGGATTACTCTAACGAGGAAATGAAAGAAACAAAGAAACTGCAATCTTTGTATCTCCTGTTAATTCAATTTTATCCCTCATTCTTCGGGATGCAGATGAATTCGCACATGAAGTTCCTCTTAAAATAGCCCCTCAAATTATAAAGTCCCAAAAATGTAGGTTATCCATTCATTTGTTTCACCACCTATGTTTGTAGCCAACTTGGTCAAATATCACCTGTTTTAGGAGATTTAGGAGATGGAATTTACTCTTGTAATTCTGGATAGCAAACCCTTTTGACTTTCATTGATTTGCCGTCTCCACGGGATGTTCTGAAATTTCGATACAACTTCATAACATGATAATATGCTCGGTGTCAACTATAGTACTATTACTATAATACGTGAAATTAGTAACACCAGGTGGCAAAAGTTCTCGGACCAACCACAACTTGGAACACCCCGTTTTTCGTGTACCCACAGCACCTGAAGATAATTAAAAGAGCCGGGAGTACTCGAATTAAAGTCAAAAATATACTTCACTCAATATGATTATCGTATTACGATATAAACAATACTCGTAACATTTTAACGAGTCGTGGTCAAATAAATGAAAATGACAAGAAATTGCTATAAGCCCGTTACAACTGTTATTTGTGTAGGTGTAACAAATTGAAGGCTAACTATAACATATAAGTTACAACACAAAGCTGATGATTTCAACAGATCGCTTGTTCCGTTACATCTCTATATCGTCCAGGTCGGGTAGAGGGAAACGAAGGATTGCAGCAATGCCGGTTATTTGTGCCAGCTCTGTTCATATGATAAGATGATTAGAAAGTTTGGTCCGGAAATTTTTTTATAAAAAGTGTCAGATGCTTAAAGCAGCATTGGTATGAACGATGCAAATACTTACGTTCTCCTGAAACATGCAAAGAAGAAAATATATGAACAGTGCCCCCTGAATCCTTCACTGATTTCACTAGAGTGGCATACCTTTGCCTCGCTACAACATCGGCATTCCTGTCCATCAAGAAATTCTTATTGTTACAGCCTTTAAACTACATTTCTCCAGTAATAAAAGGATCTTTTGGACCAGTCCATTAATAGTAAAGAAGAGACAATTAAACTAACCTGAAGAGTTCATCTGTTATCAAAAGGGTTTGGATAGCCATTCGTTCATGAGCAACTTCGACATGCTTCGGTCCATAGCATGCACGATCTGGATCCTGCACGATGACAAAAATAATTCAATAACTATGCTAAAATGCTTGAGAATGTTGGAGAAAAAGATAGATGAACATAAGATAAAGATTTCTTCCGAGCACAAAAAATCTACGGGTAAAAATTACAGAGATTTTATCCCTCCAACAGACTAATAGACACATATATTAACTTTTAGGGTGGAGGGAGTAACTACTGAATTGAAGCTGCCTTTTAACTGTTACTCTCCATCCTATCTTAGTTTTCTTACTATGACCAGATATGTTCAAAGCTTCTTTTGAATCTACCTACCTACCTATACACAAATCCCTTTGCAATGACCTGTATTAAGTGATTTCTTAGATATCATGAAATCAATCAAATTTCGGTGCTCGATAAGAGGTACAACCCACATTTTTTGGTCTTCAACTATCAATGACTTAGTATACATGCTTATCAAGAATAAGCCTCCAATCATTGTTCCAAAGGATGGTAAGTTGGCATCCAAGTATAACTTTAAATTAAAGAAACACATATTTCAGTTTAGAACCTGACATTTGAAAGCATGCCGAAGAAATCTTGCAGAACTCTAACCTGAAGAAGAAAGGGTCCAATACAATGTTATTTTTCTTTACTTTGGCAATGACAATTAAGGAGTTACGAATATTAACCAAGTTGGGTGTTGTACCTCTTGTGCTGCTTGAGTATCTTTTATCATATTCATAATGTTTGGAGCATCCAGAACCTCCCTTAAGCTATGCCTGTCATTGCAAGAAGATAAAATGCACACTTGTAAATTAAGATTGAAAAGCATAAACGATCACTGAAATGGTGTATTGATTCTTCAAGTGAGGAACAAGATTAAATAATAAAGAGTAAATAAGTATCACATGTACTGGATGTATGAACTGGTAAATCCCGTCACCCTATAAAATACAAAGTTATAAACATGATGTGTTCACGGCTCATTGCTAAAAAGTAACCCCAACTCCAGCAATGGAAAATGAACACTGAAAAATAAAAATGATACAGGAACAAGAAATCCAGAACATTTACAACACAAATATGGTAGTAGTTTGAATATGTGACCATACTTGTACCCCGAGCTTGTGTGCACAAGAATTATCCGCGACTTGTTCTCAATAATAGTTCTCAGCTGTTTTCTTTCTGCCTCCAATAATAGGTGACGATGAAATTGATCCTGAAGCAGATAAGAATGCAAATTAATATCAAATAAATTGTTTTACTGTTTTATATAATAAGTCAGTTCGTAAGACCAGGTAAAGACTGACTCCACAAGTAACTAATTTAAGAAGAAAGATCTATATGTAGTGCTAGTCCACTAGTAAAATAAGGCCTCAAGGCAATTCACAATTTCACACTAATGAGTTTCAAAAGCTCATACAAAGTCATATCACACCTTTGTGAAACCTGGACTTGCAATTACAGCACACCGAACAACACTGAAATCAACGTGCTTCAAGAAAGCCTATCACATATAGAAACCTGCCTCATTAGATGCAAGCTATGCTTGACAGTGTGAGGAGCTTCCGGGAAAAACTCAATTTGAAATTACCTGCAACACATTCTCGAAGAATTTATTCAAAGCCTGCAAAAGATGGAAAGATATTAGTAATGCAATAATATCAGAAAACTTGATTTCAGAAAAAAACAAATTCTAAAAGAAAAACGTACCGATTCATAACCTGCAATCCCAGGTCCGTGCTTGCGAGGAATCGAAGTTTCTATTCGTGAACGAGTAATTGTCATACTGATAGAAATAGTTGCAAGAACATTAGTCTCATAAGGTCATAATTTCAGGTTCATGGTAAGTAATGCAGGATAACAGTGTGCATGTGCACAATCTTGGCTTTTGAGCTTTTCTGAGTAATATTTTCAAAATCCACAATTTCATAAAGAAGAGATTTTAACCAATCTGTCATGCAGTTTTCCTAACACACATTTTAAGGATATGACCAAGATCCTAATGCAAATAACTACCAGAAAAGAGAGGAAAATAATAACCATATGAGTAATGTATAAAATAATAACTATATGAGTAATGTATAGGGATGGACAACGGGTCCGCACCATCACCATCACTCATCACCATTTAAACGAATCATGTTGGGAATGAAGTAAGGCACACCTTTTACCAACAAGGAGAATATGTGCTAATCCTTCTTGCATTAAAATTACAGCTAGATCAGCACTTGCACCAGGATCTGAAAATCGTAGAAACAGGAGCATCACGTAAGTATTAGACCTAAACATCAATCTCTATTGCTATAAAAAGGAGGAGGTTTTGCATTATAACATTTCAAAGAGAAATTGGTCAATATCACAAGAAACAGGAGTAACATTAATTTAAGAATCTAACGAGTTTATTTATTTTTCTTAATATATATAAACAGAGGGAAAAGGAGGAGGGTGGGGGGCAAAACAGAGTATATACCGGAAGCTTGATGGAGTTCGTGCAAGGCCAATGAGTCCCAGACATCCTATAAAACATACAACATAGCACGACACAAGTCAATGCATTGCATAACAGGTTTATATCACATGAAACTCAAAAGATTCACTGAAAAATAAATATGGATTGTTAAAAACTTGTGCAGATCAACAAAAACCATACCTTTCTTAACACAAAAGGTCGGTGCAGCTCAAGCTCCAAAGTGTGAAATGCTCCTATCTACATTAGGAAGATGAGAAGCTTAGAGCAGAACTTGAAAATTGTCAATTGATCAGTATTAAATTCAATTTAAGACGACATTCACCTTTACATATTCATTCTCCAAGATATTCTTCCCACGTATACGCAAGACAGCTCCTACTTTGTCATAATCAGCAACCTAAAAGGAACATACAAAATAAGTACATAACACCGAACAAAAAGCATAATTAGAGAAAAAATTTCTCCATACCTCTTCGACTTTGATTTCTAACTTCAGCTTCACGCGCTCTGCATCTCTTCCACCAGCAGCCGCTTCTCTCAGAACTTTCCTATTACACAACGCATACGGTTGTCATGAAAATTGCTAATGGATGCATGTTGACCAATCAAACTGGTTCCCGAGCATATCGTAATAAAAAAGAATTCGTATACCATCTCCGAATATAAGAAAAAATACACTCAGAATTATCGAAACATTCGACTTGCACTGATTGCAAAGTAAAACTTGTCCTTTCTTCCTACAATTTCTAAGACAATGTTATCACAAGTACAAATACACTAATGTTTTCACTCAAGCTTACTCCTAGAAAAAAATTTCGATCGAAAAAGAAAAAACGAAAGTTTCTTTTAGAAACAAATTAAACGCAGCTAATAATTAAGTTCAAATTCCTCCAATTAAATTATTAAATTTGAATTCAGCTGGTTTTGTAACAAGTAAATACACATTAGAACTACAATTAATCAGTAAATCAGAATGTTAAGAGAAAAAAAAGGGTTTTACCTAACAGTGACAGCCATGACTGTGTCTCCCGGAGCAATCAAATTATAAGCATACCACAAATCATCGGAATCCAGCGGTATCATCTGCCACACCCACCAATTCAAAATTCACCCAAAATTCAAATCAAAATTACAGATTTACAGCAAAAACTAATCACTATATTAACAGTAATAATTATGAAGTAATCAATCATAAGTTACCTTAACGCTGCCAGGTCCGCCGGGAATATAGTCCTTCCGAACAATCTTCATGGCCTCGCTGTACAGGATTACTTGTCCGAATAAATTCGAAGGAGAAAGTGTTGATTTTTGGGTGTCCCGACGACGAGGGGAAGGAAGACGAAGGAGGAGGAGCGTAAGAAGCTTTCGGTTTGAGTGGCGGTAGTGGTGCGCCCGTGCACGTGCGAAAGACTCCTGGGTCGTTTAACAGGGGTTCCGGTAGACTCGTGCTATTGCTCGAGATTCAACCTATCACAGTTTGACGCGTATATACAAACTTTCACTTTTGTGCTTTGATAACTTGTTTGCAAAAACTATCTTTTTTGTGCTTTGATAACTCGTACGAACGTCTTAAAGCAATGAGAAACTTAAAAACAGTGGTGTCGTATAGTTGATCTTGGATGATACGTGTTGTAGGCCTGATTTAACTGATGAATTATAGAGAGAATAGAGAGCTGGGGCAAACACAGAGAAACAACAAATTTGGTGAATTTTGAGGTGTGATTTCGTCTAATAAGATAATATCCAAGGTAAGATATTTGGTTGAATCTCATACGGTTAATTCCTTATCCCAATAGAATTACAACACTTGCCTTTGAATGCGTAATACTCCCTTTGAATGCGTAATACTCTCTTTGAATGTGTAAATACTCAAGTAAATGACGCAACAGGTTTCCAAACTTTTAGTTTGGGTTCGAGCGCCCATAAACTTCCAATTCATGTCAACATATCCATCAATTTTGTCACGGTTTTTTGCTAAATTCATCACTTGCGCACACGCCGTGCACCGGATTAATGATACATTAGATTTGTTGTAAGGACCCAACAACGAAGGATCAAACGGACTAAGATTCCAACGGAACAGAAACATAAAACACTACTAATAACGTAGCGTAGACAAACCTTTGGAAGTCCGAAACAAATTATAACGCTTTCGGTCAAACACATTCAGAAACAAAAACAGAACATGGAAGAAGATCAAAATTCATCCAAAGGCTCTAAAGCATAATCTAAAGATGTATTAAGTTCTTATACAGTGTTCAAAAGACAAGATCTAGATTCATAAGCTCCAAAATTATAATCAGAACACCACTCATTCTTCGAAAGCAACGACCTCCTCTACCTGGTTTATCACCTCTTCGACCTCAATAGCTTTAGCCTCGTACTCCTCTTCCTCATCACTTGCTTCTCCGTCTCTCAGATTTTTCCTCACCTCTTTCTCTTCTTCGTGCTTCTGCTTCCACTGAGCCACCCACTTCTCCCATTCCTCCTTCAACATTCTTCTTTTCTCGCGATCCTGCTCGCTCAAGAAGATTGAAACATCCTGGTCCTCTGCCTCATACTTCTTGCTGTACTTCTTCAAGTTCTTTGCAATCTCCTCCTCTTTCTCGGGAGTCAAGAATGATGGCGGCCTTGGGCGCCATAAGAACTACAACAAAGGGCTATGCAGTTAGAGCATGAATCTATTACAACTAGAATTTATCTATTGTCACAAAGGCATGTAGTACTTCCAAATCTATCATCACAAACTTCATTGCATACAACACTACGACATTACTATGAGAAAAAAGAATTCGTAAACTAAATTATTTTATACCCAATTCCTTCATTTCTTTTTCTGTTGTAAGAACCTTGATGTAAATTGTAATAGAGATGATTAAAGTTTTTTAAAATTGAGTAATATGTCAGAATATAGAGCATGAGAATAAGATTCAGTGCCTCCTCTATAATGGCATTACCTGAAAGAAATGATCCTTTAGTATCCGATAAAGTAGCTTGCCATTGAATGTCCAGATGTTGAAGCCGTTCTCCATCTCATGGACTGAGGTCACTGCAGTAGCTACATATCTGAAAGACAAAACTAGCATGTCAAAATCAAGATGCAAGTAAGAAACCAACTGACAAGTAAGATATCCAAAATTATACCTTCCGGTCGGATCCCATTCGATATCTGTCGCCATGAAATGTTCAGCGGTGGCCATGGTTTCAAGCTCATCTACATTGTAAAACTCTAGCTGTCCATTAAAACCTTTCAATCCTGCCAGAATAATGAAGTGGCCGGTAGGTGACCAGTAAAGGGCATTTGCCTGCTTTCCCTTGAGAGTAGTGAGCTTTGAAACACGCCCAGTATTGTGAGCACTTCGCATGGAGTAGAAACTTATGTCGGGCCTTGGGTTGTTATTCGCATTTGTGTTATCACAATGAATTACTGCGAACCGGTGGCCCTTAGGCTCCCAAGCGAATGCAATAATTTTGTCATTCTTATTCTCCAATTCCAAGACTTCGATAGGAATGTCCCGCTCCTTGATTCTGAAAAGCTCAAATCCAGTGTATGTACTTTTCTTTGTTTTGGTGTAGCGGTCAACTTTAACAGCTAGATACTCCCCATTGCTCTGCCAGTACATTTTGCAATCGCTGACGCTGAAAAGATTCTTCTGCCTCAACTCCTCCTTAGCAGGGATTTGAACAAGACTCACCTATTTGTATCAATGAAGCATTAGTTTAACTACCCTACAGTGAAATACAGAAAAGGGGAAACAGAAAAGACCAGATCTAGGAAAACAGAAAGTAAAATGGAACAAGATACACACCCTAGCAGGCTGGTTGCCACCACCCAGTTCTGGAACAAATAGTGCAAGAATCGGATCAGTTGGTGACCAACTGAAGTCCATGACATTTTCCACCTTCATTGACTTTTTGTCTACAAGAGAAAATGTTTCCGTCTCGTATACAGAAATAACATTTTTACCCATCCTGGCAAAGTACTTGTCATCTTTTCCCCCAGCCCATCTGCAAATATTAAAAGAAAAGGTAAAGCATTAAAATACAGTTAACACTCAAATTCACATTTGCGTCATATAAACTTACTTGAAAACAGGCCAAGACACCCCGGCAACACCTCCAGCTCCTCCAATAGCAAAATCATCTGGGCTTCCTTTAAAATCTCTCATTACTTTTCCGGTCCTCACATCAAAAATGTTTATCACGACCCTCTGTAAAATAATTTCACATTAGAAACAGAAACAAGGCAAAAGAAAAATCACAAAAAGTATTGAATCTCACTCACATTTGCATCACGAGGATTGCTTGGTTCATGGCTGCTGTATGTCACCAAGTATTTCTCACCAGGTGAGAAATCAATCAGTCGAACCTGCAGTTGACAGTCACAGGTAAGGACCGAGAGAAAAAACAAATACAGATACAAACTAAAACTGAAACCAAAAACCAAAAACAACCTGGGAATGAGCATAACGCATCAGACGATTGAACGTGGAGGCGCCTCCCCAGACTGCAGCACCCTGCCTATGAACAGTGGCCAGGTAAGTCCCCAGAGGGGACCACTGCACGAAGCTCTCAGTCCAGAACTGTAACAGATAATACATATGATTATTCACGGTTGAAGTATTCAATATAAGAGAAGGTGACCATTAAGAGGGAAAACATCAACAATGTGTAAAGGGGAATAGACATCCACTTACAGTGCGTTTGTAGAACGGTTCCGGCTTCAGGTGCCTTGCATCGTTCCATAGCACTTCCGTGTCCGCACCATAACGAATGACCAGCTGGTCCCTGGCCTTTTCGTCGGTTAGCCACTGTTGTAGGTTTTCCTGTAATGATGCCCAAGAAGATAACATAATAAATACCAGAGCTTATTTCCATTTCAGAATGTCCAAAAATTTTGATTGATTAGAGCATAATTACCCCCGGAGTATACGGTTTACTTTCTGGAGGGGCCCATTGATCCGGAACACTCATGAACCGATCAAAGTCGTTAAACATGTTGACAACAAAAATATGTGATCGATCCAGCTTGTATCCATGAGTCCTCTCTTTGGCAAGCTCAGCTTCCTATAATCACAACAATGCAAGGTTACATATCAATCGTTCACACACAGAGACATAGTTTGGGACCCAAGTGATGATTATTCATCACGCGTATCTATCAATCTGCGAAATTTCATTGGAAACACAATACACACACAATTTGTCATTTATGAGAGAAAAGATACCTGAGGGGTATTAAACTCAAGGAAGCAGTAACCCAAGGTTTTATTGGTTTCGGGGTCCAGAGGCATCCAAAAGCCGTCGTCTTTGATCACACCAATCTGACTATAGATTTTACGTATGACGTTTTCGAGCTTCTCAAACTTTTCCAAAGGAACAACAGGGAGGTTATCAACAACAATTATGTTGCTAAACCCTGCGTCCAACTCCGAATTGTCCACATTGTATATATCCTCATCATCACTACGCAACCATTTAATTAATTAAAAAAATACTCAAATCATGCTTCTAATACACAAAATTTCTGCGTAACCACTTTCGTTATCAAACTTATGGAAACACGATAGGGTTTGGGAAAGAACGAATCTTGCTATCAATTTTCTGGAAAGTCAGGGTTTGGGTCGGAGCTAGGATTACCTGATAATGCCAAAGTCTTCGCCGGCAGGGAGGCGGATGGAATCGAGGTCGAGCTGCGAGAGGTCGATTCCGATTCGGGCCGCCGTCGCCTCTATGTCATTGTACGTCATGATGTCCGCCATGTTTATATCGGAGAAGCCGGATGTTCGAGAGGGCCTCGCGCAGCAGTGCGACGGAGGTGAAGAGGAAGCTTTTTAGGGTTTTGGTGATACTGTGTGTAGCAGCTATCGGTTGTGTTGCAGATGCGTTATTCGGTCAGTTGGAACTTGGATCTTGGAACTTGGAACCTGGTCCCTGCGAAATAAAACGAAAATATAAATATTTACGTCTTTTATCTGTAATTGTATTTGATTGGAACTTTGAGAATTTTTTTTTTTAATAAATTAAAAGTATGTAATTTAAGTTTGAAGTAATTTTTAAAAATTTAAAGTCTATTAGATTAGAAGTTTAAAGAAATTTATAATATTAAGTATTTTCAATTAGGAATTAATTTTAAAAAAAAATTATGAAATTAAGAAATTAAAGACAACTGAGAAAATTCGTACTGCATTTAACATTCACGAAATTTTGAGATATCAAAGTTTTATGTGAAATTTCTCCTATCAGCTAAACTTCATCAAAACCTTTTAAAACCTCTCAGAATTTCAATTAATATAACTAAAGTCAGGCCAAGCCAAAAAGTTTAATGACAATCATGAGCCTTCCACCGAAAAGACTATCATGGGCTTAGATATTGTTTCCAAAACTTTGCAACCAAAGCCCAATACTAGCCATGGCCTTGAGACTAAATGGCGTTGCCTCGTTTCAAAGTGTTTTTGAAATAATTGAAAGTGTTTTTAATGAAAATAGTTTAATATTTCAAAAGCACTTAAAGTGTTTCATGCAATAAGCACCATTATG